ATAATTTTTAATTATATAATTTGGGATTATAGTATGTTATTCTGCTCTGGACTCATACCAAGAGATGCAATATCTAAAAGTTTGAACATATTTCAAAACAATGTATAGTCATCAAAGTATATGTGTACGTGTGTACATACACACATGTTTAAATAGAACCTAATAATTATCTTACAATGAAAACTACTGTGAATTGAGGAATAGCCATATTATTTGTTTTGAGTGTTAGAAAGAGAGTTTCAGACCTGATTCAAGATTCTGCTGCTATTGGAATATCTTAATCGTTGTCCTTTCCAAGTTCTAAAAAATTTACTTCTAGGTTCTGAAATATTTTCTTACCTAATACAAAACAGATAGCCTTGGTAGGGCAATCCAGTCCCACTCTACCAATTTGCCTGGAGCTGTCCCTGAAATCATTAGAAGTTGAGCTAAGATCATCTTGAAATAAAGTTAGAAATAAGATCCAGGGGGCGGGTGAATGCCAATTATTTTTTTCTAAACATTTAGTTAACATCGTAAAATGATTCTGGTATTTCATGTTTCATCAATTACTGCATGTTAATATAGCTACTTAATAGAATGAAAAGAAGAAACCCACTATTGACATAAGGTAAGAATATGTATGTGCGTTTTTTATTTATTTATTATTTTTTCCAAAGATAAGATGAAATATAAAATAAAAAAACAAGAATTATAGACAAAACACACAAAAAGAAAGAAAAAAGTGTATACAATAAATATAAAATTAACAATAAGCATATGACTTCCACCCTAGTTGAATGCTGATATCTGTACGTCATATAAATCTGATAGGCTGATCCCTTGCATTGCAGTTCCACAAGAAGTTATTCACTTTTCATCTATGCTTATCAAATTACTATTTTACATTAGGTTTCTCTTAACAAATATCTCAGTATACAGATCTATTGTGTATCAATCAAATCGATCCAATAGCTGTCCATTGTAAAAAAAAGACCTGTTAACTGTTAACCCCCGCAAAAGTATATTAAACTTCAAAGCCCTCTATTAACAGTCCATTATTATATTTAACTCACAGAAACTCTGGCTTCCGGTCACTTACAAACTTATTCAGACTGTCTCTAGTTAATACAATTAATTTTGCCATCTCTGCCAGTTCAGTCAATTTCAAAATCCATTCTTCCACTGTTGCTATTCCTTTTTTTCTTTTCAATATTTGCCACATGCAGTCCTTGCAGCTGTCACCATAAAGAGAAGTAAGGTTCCGAATTGTTTTTCTGTTGGTTTATCCATAATAGCTAGAAGAAAGGCTTCAGATTTCATTAATATTTGCATTTTAAGTATTTTTGCATAACTATTATTATATTTATCCAATATGATTTAGGATGTTTACAAGACCACCATATGTGTAGGAGATGACAGGCTGAGCCTGAGGGAGAGGTCAAACACGTTGTCAGTCCCTTCATGCTCACAAGAGATTTAAATCCAGCCCACCTTGAATTCCATTGATTCTTATCTACTGCCAATTTGCTTTATCTGTTAGTAGTTCAGATTCTTGTAGAGAGCATTAGCATACAATAAACCATATTCATTTGAACTGCCTTGAGTCCTGATTTCTTGCACGTTAAAGTATAAATATACCTGGAGTTTGATTACATTTCCAGTATTGGTTGGAAGTTCCATTATACATTTATGCCAATCTATTTGAAGTCAGATTCCATTGATACATCATGTTATAAAAAATTTCTTTCAAACTGTAATTCAAAGTCAACTTTAAACCATTAATTCATGTATTCTCCCATTAATCTAACATTATATTATAACCAACATTACAACCATTTTACCATACAATCTATAACATATTCATCTTCCAGGTTCATCCTAAGTAGTATTTTATAAACTTTAGAAACTGAATAGTCATCTCCAGAGCATAAATTATAGAATATGTATGAGTTGGTTTTGTTTTTTTTAAAGCAGAGGCTTTTGTACATGTGTGGCTGAGTCACCTGGAATCCTCCTGTATTATAACAATACCTTCTGTGAGTTCATGGGAAATGTTATTTCCTGTAATTGTTTTTGTCAAACTTATTCCCACTGACAGTTTCACAGATCCCACAACAGACTGGTGTAAGAAAACCTTCTGTCTTTTCCCACACAGTCCTAGGGGAAGTGGTTTTACCACAGAATGCAAACAGAGAGCTTTCTTCAGCACTGAAGCTGCTAATACTTTGAATGTGGGGGTGAAAGCTCTCACAGGACCAACATTTGTGCATACTTCATTAGAAAGGAATATGTAGAATCCAATAGAACATGGAGAAGGTCATGGGAAAATTATTAAATGAAATTCTAGGTTGCTAAGAAAGGCTTTATGAATAGAGGAGTAAAATATAGTTATTTGTGCATATGAAAGAGTAAAAATAAAAAATAACTTTCAGTACTTTGGGTGTTCTTTAGGGAAATTTTTTCTGATGTAATATGTTCTATATAAGATTTATTTATCAAAAGCAAAAGATCAGAAGAATGAATGGGGGAATCTCCTTGTTTTTGAAAATAAGTTGCCTATGTATTTTTGTTCAACACATAAGCTTATTCTAGTTAACTTATTTCTATAAGATGAGGATTGAAATAACATCAACGGGTTTTTTGTCAAAATTATTCTAAGAACTACTTTGTCCTGACTTTATCATTATATAATGAAAGGACTTTGGAAAAAAGCAATCTATGCCATCCTTGATTTTTTAGTTTTGTTCCACTATGATTTGTCAAATTACAGTGACATTTAGGTTAGTCTAAAATGGATCAATCCACACCATCCTGTGTACTCCCTGTACTGATGCCTCTTATACCACCTGAATAAGCACACAACTATTTTTCCACTACATTCAGGCCTTCCCTGTTCCCATGGAATCCATGTTTTGTCTAGCAAAACCCAATATCAACAGAAATAAGCCCCAGAGCAGTGATTCTCAACCTTGGCAACTTTAAGATGTGTGGACTTCAACACTCAGAATTTTCCAGCCAGTTTACACCTGATGATATTACTTAGTTGGGCAATGAAATGTCTGCCAGAAAACAACCAAACTTAGGAAGCATTAAGGACTCAACAATTTCAATCCTGAGCTACAAATATTCTGTTAGGATATTTAAATTTAGTAGTTGGAGCAGTAGGGTTGTGCAGTGAGCCAGAACACATGGTTATAGCTGATTTGTTGAAGAGTCCTGGTTCCTGTGTGAGGCAATCTGTGCTGTGATTGGTTGCTTCCCCCCCACCCTTTTTTCTTCTGTATGCCTTGTTTGCTCTTTGATTTACCTCATGATGTTCCCGTTTGCCTGACTCTCTAGTTTGCTTTATATAGAGATGTAAAATACATTTATTTATATAAAATTACAAGTTCATGTCAGTGTCTCTGACTCCATTTGGACACCAGCTGTGTAATTCCCTGACATATTCTCTTCTATTTGTAATTCTTCTTCTTCTTCTTGTGCCATATCCGTTATCGGACGTTGGCGATCATGTTGGCGATCCTGTTTTTATCAGCAGCTGCACAAAAAAGTGCTGCTGAGTTTTGTTCAAACCAGTCCCTAAGATTTTGAAGCCATGATGTTCTTCTTCTGCCAGGACCTCGTTTGCCTTCAATCTTTCCCTGGAGGATTAAATGGAGTATGCCGTATTTTTCTGGGTGTCGCATCACATGTCCGAAATATTCTAATTTTCATTTTTTAATTATTTTGATGATTTCCCTTAGCTTTCCCAGTTGGCTTATCACCTCCTCATTTCTGATCTTGTCAACCCAGCTTATATGTAACAGCCGACTGTAAATGCACATTTCAAATGCTTCTAGTCTCTTCAGGGGCCTTCTATTAGAGACCAACTCTCTACTCTATAGAGCAGGGTAGAAAACAAATAGCATCTGACAAGCCTGATTTCCAGTCTTAGGCTTATGTCGTGACTGCAGAAGACCTTTTTCATTTTGAAGAATGCTGTTCGAGCTTTCTCTATCCTTGTCTTTACTTCAACGGTCATGTCCCAACTTTCATGTAAATTAGAACCGAGGTGCGTGATATTTGTAATACATCAGTAATTGAGTATGTCATCATACCATAACATCTACTGAGAAAATACTAAAAGCTCTTGTACAATGATTGCAATCCAACTTTCTTAGGCAGACATGGATAGAAATATGAGCAAATGAAGAAGTCCGTTAATTTTATGTGCAGTAGATTTTAAAATGAATCATGTGATAGAAATATTTTATGACTAAACTCATGAATAATGTGAATGAAATGGAAAGGAATAGCATGAGGAAAATATTAACTGTTCCTGACATTACAAAAGGACTATCCTGCAGGAAGAGGCAAATATTTCTGGACAAATTAATGAAAAAAGAGAATGGAGAATTCTTACAGTTAAAGCATGTTGCATATCATTATGCATAAGTTGGGCAAATCAGTAGTTGCTAGAGCATTTATTGTTTAGATGACCTGTCTATGGGAAAAGGCTCTACACTTCATAATGAAATATGAATTTTATATTATTTTGGGACCAGGGGTCATATTTATTTATATATTTTCCCTCTAGCGTAACTATTATGTTAGATTCTTAGTATTTATATATTTATATGTATATATGTATATATTCACTATCCCATGTGGGAAAGATTTTAATTAAGAACAGATTTCCTGTTCTTGAGTATACACTCATAGAGAAGTCTATAGCAAAATAAAGACTAACAATTCAGGCACATAACTGAATTTCTCTTTAAAGTGCTGAATCAGTATCTTTAACATATTTAAAGATTCCTGTGGTTGGCTAACATAAATTTAATTGTCAAGTTAAATGAATATTTGTTTGAGATTGTTATTTCTATTTAAATGCAAAACAAATTCTTTTGAATACTTCTATCCTTTCTCTTTACTTTAAATTCCATTCTACTGTTTTTTTTACCCAATTTTGCAACTTTTATACCTGTTGCAGAGATTCTTTTGTTGTATTGAAACTATTCTTTTATTTCATTTTTCAGACTCACCCAGCAATGCTGAAATTTCTTATACAAGCCGAAAGTGAACAACTTGTCATCAGTCTGGAGAGAAATGAGTGAGTGGTTGTAATTTGTATTCCCTGCAGTATAGTAGTGCTATGGATTACTAAGTTAAAATTGATGGTTTATATTTGTAGAGGTATGGCCCTGTCTGCTTTCTAGCTTTGGAAAAATAAGCTGGTATAAGTTAACAATGTTTCCAAAGGTTTATTTCATTATTTATAACCAAGTGGCAATTCTGTGAGATTTCGTGCACAAATCATGCATCTCTTTTGGCATTACTTTGAGCATGTTTTACTTTTACACTTAAATAAACCTGGTTGTTCATATTATGAAAGATAATTTTAGACAGATATTGCTTTGTTTTGATATTATTTCATTGTTTGGAATGAGTTAACTTGCCTAGGGACAATCATTAGTTTGCTATACACTTTTTTGCAATTAAAAAACTTAAATTCTCTCGGACCTAGTAGTTGGAAGGTAGGAAAATTGAGAGAAATATAATAAATTTTACCAAACCATCACATAATTATAGTCTTGCTTATTGCAATAATGACAGCAGAGTGATCTCAGTCTTGTAAAATCACCCATCAGTTCAACAAAGATTAATAAGAGAAAGGCACAAGGACTTAGTCTAAATTATCATCTTTTTCTACAATGATATGCTGATCCTGGCACAGGGACTTGATCTATTGTATTTATTTTTCTCAGAAGGATGTACATGACCACTGACTGCACATATACACAATTCTTCCACACAATTAGGAGCATTGCCTATTTTTAGGATAGAAAAACCAATACTTTTCTTAAGAATAAAGGAGATGCTTACCTGGTATCAGTCTGATACCCCCAAATGTCATTACTTAACTGACTGGATGCACTGACGTTTTAAAATCTATACCTTTTATTGTTGGCATCTGAAAATATAGTTTTTCTCTCTATTTACACCAACTGACAGATTGTGAAATCCTTGGCTTGATAAAACTAAAAATAAATCATATGTAATCTGCTATTTGTAAGCATTGAGTCATTCTAGACTGGGCTAAGTGATTACATGTTACGCTTTTATATACTCTTGGTTGAAACTGTGTGGCTGAGTAGCCAATACATCCAAGACATAGTATGGGCAAACATTTCTTTAAATTAAAAATGAGAGTAAATGAACAAGATTAAAAATTCTCTAAAAATGTGTTGGTTCACAACTCTGCCTGTAAGCACAAGCGCATAACTAGAGTGGAGCAAAATTTGACTTGTTCCTCTTTATTTACCAGGAATGACCAGTTCAGGTACATGTACATAGGATTCTTGAGCAATTATAAATATCAAGGAAAGAAGTCAAGACAGCATAACCAGTATATGAAACTCTCATTATGTATCATTACATAATACAAAATGAGTCAGATGATGAGGTTCTAACACAAAATAGGAAACTAATTACCTGAACAGATTCAAGACTGTTAGAGGGAAGAGAATAGCAATAGCGCTTAGAGTTACATACCCCTCCATAGTGCTTTACTATAGCTTCCTACCCTAGTGAGATGAAATTGGGGTTGCAAATTATTACATCTGTAAATTTTCCCTTTTGTCTAGGTATGTAACAAAGGTGGAATAGAGAGTTTTTAATATGAATTTTTTCCATTTCTCCAGCGTTTTTGCGTAGGCATAAGCTTTTTCAGGAAGTGAGAGGGAAACTGACATTTTCTGCAAAAACCTGAGCACTGATATGAGCATTGGAGATAGTTTTACAGTTTAAAAAACAAAGGCCAAATCCTTCGCCATTTCACACATTGAAGAAGTTGAACTCTTTTATCTCCCACCACAATTCCCATCCTCCCTTAGGAAGGCAAATGGGAACTGGACTTTCTGCAAAAGGTTAGTCTATGGTGGTTTCATAAAGGAGCAAACCATCTAAATTGGCTCTCAGTGGAATTCACTGAGATTCCTTATTAATTTTGCTAGAGAGACCAATGATGTTGCCAGGGGTTGAAAGGCTGAGGTTTAACATTTAAAATTCTAGATTTTCCCGCAAACAATAATGTCTCTTAGGAATGATGAACCTGGAAACTGGCAGTGTAGCTGTCCAATATTTGCCATTATGAACTATATTAATTTACTATCCCCAGTTTCAGTCACTATATCTTATGAAATCTAACATGACTTATCTACTCTCCCTTTGATTGTGATCAAGATATATTTCTTCTTCTTTGGTTGTTTGTCTGTATGATATAATATAAGGCTATCATTCAGTAGTCCCCCAGGGAGAAGCAATTTGTTTTTAATATATCCAGCACCATGTTCAAGCTTCTTATTATATGTAGGCAGAGCTCTCAGAAGCGCTTTATATCAATCAGCCAATCAAAAGTTTCAGCAGTGCCTGATTTACAGGTAGCAGTTTCATAATTTTGTACATGAAATTCTGAAGACAAGAAATAGGTCTCTGGTTGATAATGCTAAGAAAGCATCCTGTGTGGGCCTTAATCTCATAGTTGACAATAGGTCAATGAAATCTATCTTAATGGAGCTATAGTGTCCCTTCAGTTCCCAGAACTCCTAATACGTCTTGTAAAGTTGCTCAGTATTTTCTTCCTCTAAAGTCCCTGGTAAGAGGCAATATTGCACTCTATCTGTTATTAAGAAGACTGCAGCCCTAACCTTGTTAGACCAGGTAAGTTCTATGGTGTTTATTTCTCAGAAGGTATACACAAGATAATTAATAATTACATTATTTATCTGTCATGGAATAGAGGAGATACCAAAGTTAAAATATGAACATTTTACTGAGGATACATACTTAGAAAAGAATATATGGGAGTGTGGGAGAGGAGATATCCTAAATTTAAGCTACCTGACGGCATCTCCTTAAGGTAGGCTTCTCAAATATCTCATTCTCAATAATATTGATTAGTGATTATGAGAACTGAAGTCCAGGACACCTCTGAAGAGTACCAGACCGGAAAAACTGCCTGGAGTATTGGAGAGGAAGAACGAGTATAGTTCAGTTAAGCTATTATTTGAATTGTAATTCTAGGTTTTTGCTGTTGTTGTTTTCAAATATAAGTTGATTTAGAAAGTACTGTGTTTGTATAATAGAAAAGCTAAATCAGAAGTGGAAAAAAAACGGTTCTCCTCTAAGGTTTGATCCCTTCAACTTGAAATAATTTCCCCCTATAGGGCCAAAATTACCTACCACAGTGCTTTTGGTCCTTAAGTGTGGATTGTGCACAGAATGTGCCTAAATGCACCATACCAATTATGTTTGTTATGGCTCTCAAGACACTGTATAGCTAAAATTATACTGATCTGAAAAGAATAGTGATTTTTTTTCCTACCAATTTATTTTTATAATTGGAGGTTAAGCTTACTGTCATTGATAATACAATAGTGGTGTTAGACACTTTTTATTATCTGATCTTTGTTTACCATGTAATCATTCTTTTATGAAGGTCACCTTATATTCAGAATAATTTTCTTGTTGCATAAAAATTATATAGTTGAATACTATGTGGGTATGTGTACACACACACACATACACACAAACACATGTGTGTGTGTGTGTGTGTGTATGTGTATACACACACACATCAGTATGCAACTACAGTTCCCCATTAAGTCCATATTCAGGAGCATACCTAGATTTGCCTCTTGGTGAAATGCCTCTGAAAAGAAGCAGTTAAAGTGGATTCATTATTTATGAACTGATAATATATACTCTTCCATTCTCTAATGAAGCATAAAATGATGGATTTTTGAAGAATGCATTTTTGCATAAGAAATGTAAATTGATTCCACAAAGATGCTGAAATAAATGTGTTTGAGGTGTGAATGGAATGTGAAGACAAACACCTTTGCAGATTCTGTGTTTTTTAAATCAAAACAGAGGCATTTAAAATCTGTGTTTATATCGCCTAATCATTTTTTAAAAAGCATTATTTGCAAAGTACGGAAGAAAATTTCTTACTAAATGTTACAATTTCTGTTTTACCTAGATAATTAAATTAAACTTCTGATACAGTTATTTATGCTTGGCCAAAATAGGTATAAATAGCATTCACATCACGTTACTGAAACAAATTAGAGAATCAATGGGCAACCTGTGATTGTTCAATAGTGCTAGATTATAAATTCATCATCTTCCAAGTGGGTCACATTGGGGTTCATTGCATATTGCTGCTGTGGTGGATTCCAAATAAAGAGTGGCATTTCAGATTGCAATTGAGAGAAGTCTTTCATCTAAGCTAGGATGAACTGATTAACAAAATTACTTTATTACCGATTTTGAAAATATTACTAGATGAAAATGTAGATTCCTAACTGCGGAATTTAGATTGCAATTATGTTTCTTCGTTTTCATCTGAATCCCAATGGGATTAAATAATGACTCTTTGGCCTTCAGGTATTTAAATGTTGGAAAGACTTGCTGAACAATTGACTATTCAAACTTTGTCTGTCACTGATCTCTTAGGAAGAACAGAATAGATTAACCTTTCTACTGATCCGTAGGACTATATAAAGCTTAGAATATTTCATGAATGAAATAAGCTTCTTGAAGCTGAAAAGTTAGTGCTGCCAAGTGAGACAACCCCATATAAAGTTCCTCCTCCTCCTTCTCCTCCTCCTCCTCCTGGAATTTACCAGTACATATACCACAGTTTTGAGTTTATTTTCTTGGGATGCATTTGGCGTATCAGCCAAAAATGATAAAAGGTGTTCCTGGCCATGGGATCCAGAGATTCAAGTCTAAAAATATCCACAAACTGCTGCTTTTGGGAGAATGCAATTCCATTGAGAATAGGCATATCTACTTTCCCCCTGAAATTACGGCACATCACAATGAATACTTTGTCTTGTCTGGATTTAATTTCAATGTGTTGCCCATCATCCATCCCATTATTGACTTCAGTCAGATATTCAGTAGAGGCACACCATTGCTGGAAAAGATCACAGGAAAGTAGATCTAACTGTCATCAGCATGTCTATAGCATTCAGCCCCAAATATCCTGATTTCTCCCTTTTGAACTTTGAGGAACAAGAGTCTAGGCAATATTTCTTGAAATTC